CTGAGTCGAGAGTGAGCACGGGGCCGAACACGGGACCAAAGCCGAGTATTCAGGGAAGAGTCTTTGCTATGAGCGGAGCGGAGGCTTTACAATCTGAGGAGTTAATTCAAGGTAAATGTGTTATAAAGGGTAGATTGTTGGATGTCTTGTTTGACTCAGGTGCTACGCACTCTTTTGTTTTTGTGGATTGTGTGAAGTGTTTGAGTTTGTCTGTGACTAAATTGTCATGTAATGTTGTGGTGACTACCCCTATAGATAAACTGGTTGTGACCTCTTGGATGTGTCTGGGGTGTTCGATAATGGTGCATGGAAGGGACTTTGAGATAGACTTAATCATTTTGCCTATTTCCCAATTAGATGTGATTTTGGGAATGAATTGGCTAACCGCCAACCATGAACTGCTGGACTACAGAGAGAAGACGTTGATTTTTGGTGCGTCGACTTTGAAAATTCCTAGAATTTTGAGTCAAGGTGTGTGGGATAGCACGGTGAATGCTAAGGCCTTTATGGTCATGTTTTCATTAGAGGCTAAAAGTGGAGTGAAGTCAGAGTATATCCCAGTGGTGAAGGACTTCTTGGAAGTCTTCCTGAAGATGTTTCTGAGTTGCCGCCAGAGAGGGAGATAGAATTCACAATTGACCTCATTCTGGGAGCAAACTCGATTTCTGTGGCACCTTATAGGATGTCACCGGTAGAGTTGGTGAAGGTCAAGAAGCAAGTGGAGGACCTATTGCAGAAGCGGTTTGTGAGACCAAGTATATCACTATGGGGAGCACCAGTGCTCTTGGTGAAAAAGAAGGATGAGAGCATGAGAATGTGTATCGACTACAAACAACTAAATAAAGTGATGATAAAGAACAAATATCTACTTCCCAGAATTGACGACTTGATGGATCAATTGAAGGGAGCTGTAGTGTTTTCGAAGATTGATTTGAGATGGGGTTCCCGCCAGATTAGGGTGAAGAATGAGGATATACCAAATGTAACACCTTAATTTTACTTTCCAAAATAATGAATTTCACAAAAATATGGAGAATAAACTTTTTCATTCAAATAAAATCCTCATTAAAATGTTTCAAATTTAAGGAAAGGAGTTACAAAATTCATATCAAATCACCGCTACAGGATTAATTCAAATACATTAATTTCAAAATGATATCCTAAGTCCTATAGCAGTTCCATCCACCCCTTCACTGAGACCGGTCCTGATCGTCTTTATTACCTGAAAAAAATAAATGTAAGGTTGAATACTCTATACTACTCATTACACAAACAAATACAGAGTTTCACCATATGCATATTTAAATCATTTCTAATATAATTCATATAAATATATTCACAGGCAACATTACCACTCAATTCATTTTTAATTCAACTCCGATGCACTCACAGCACCAAACAGTTTACACACACGTAATTATCAAACAATAATCCCGTGCACTCACTACACGCCAGCCACGCTCACTGTGGCACTGTGATCACAGATTTTCACTATGGATGGTCGCTGGTTACCCCCGCCTCACGGATACCATGTGGGCAGTCATGGGTCGCTCAGCAAAGGTAGTGATTAGAGGTCTAGTCAGGAAAAGTGTGTGTGGCCCGTGGTGCACCCACACTCACTGTTAGTGTCACCACCACTCTCTCTTCCCCAAGGTATTTCTATCGTCCCCATCTTCCATACCCCAGTGTATCGCTGAACCATTTACAGTACAATATAACGGTGTTAACACGCTCCATCCACACATTTCAGCATTTAGTCACAATTCACGACACAAAGCCCACAATCATTTATTTTACACGGCTCTTAGGCTCACATTTGTTAGCAATAATCGTTCTCAATACACGGCACAAGTGCCCACATGCATTTACAACATAATTCGTTTCAACCACACACACAATATTCACCCATCACGGGTTTCACGTGCTATCACACCTCACAACACACAACAAATTTCATCAAATACATATTTCCTACTCTCTATCTCAACCACATTGCAATATTCATCAAAATACACGACAATCAAACCCAAAGAGATAGGGTAGAGCCCCCCTTTACCTTGGATTGAAGACCCACACTCGAATTTAACTACGGAAGTGCTCTCACACGGATTTTGGCCTAAATACATGGAAGAACTCCATGAGAATCCAAGGAAACTGAGAAACAGAAAAAGGGGATGAAAAACGAAAACCCTAACTATTAAAACTCACCTCCAAGTGTTGCAGCTTTGGAGACAATTTAATCGGTGGGATAGGATTTTGGGTTGAGAGAATTGAAGAAATTTTGAAGGAAAGGTGAGAAATAACCTTTCTTGAACCCTAACCCCCTTTAAATCCTCTCTGATTGCGACACTCTCGCTACAGCGAGATATTTTCGCTGCAGCGACTCCCTCCCTCAGTACAGCGAAAAACTCAGATAAAACTGCACTCTAGTTACTGCAGCATCTCGCTACAGCGAGACTGCACCCAGAAATATAGCCCAAACTGTGGCTTTGTCGCCACAACAAGAGAATAGTTTGTGTGTGGTTAAGGCTAATATTCAAGGAAAATGAGACAGTGGCCTTAACATTGTGATTAAAAGAATTATCTTCTTCATTGATATTATGATGTACTCACGTTTATTTATTTATTTGTTAAATTATACATTTAGTATCTATAGATTAAAAGTAGTTTATGAAATAGTTCGTATAAAGACTAAAAAATAAGTTTTCTTTAATTGCGAGAATTGATTCATAAACAAGTATTAACTATAAAGATTATATATATATTTTAACCTTCTAAAAAAATATTTTTTTAAATATGTCTATAAAAATTAAAAATAGTCATCAAATAAAAGAATCGTAAATTTTAAAAATATTAAAAATTAATATATTTAAATTAAATATTATTTATAATTTAAAATTATATATTTATTGATAAAACTTATTAATTTAGTAAATATATCAATTAAAAATAATAATTATAGTTAATAAAATATTAAAAATAATTCACATATGATAAAGACTTTTTATTATAGCTAAAAAAATATTTAAACATATAGTCTTTTTTATTCGATATAATAGGATAAAAAAATTAAATAGATATAAATTATCTTTTGTATCTAATTGATAAATAAAGTAACAAAAAGACTAATAAAATTTTGAGTTGATATAACAAGAATTGCTTACTTATATTATAATTAAAAAAATTATGAATCTATTCATATAGTAAAGTTGATCCTCTAAAATTTTTAGTAAGATAATTTTACAACTCAAATATAATAAATATTTCATTTCTTATAAAAAAAAATATTTCAAAGACATTATAAAAATTGAGACATCATATAAAAAATATAAGCGTTTGGTCCTTACAAAAGTTATATAAACACTTAATTATGATATTTAAATTCAAATTGTACAACATCTTTAAAGTTATAATTGGTTAAAAAATCATATTTAATATCTATTTTTGAAATATTTACAAATTAATAAAAATACTTAAAAAATTGATGTTTTAGTCTATATACTTAGAAAAAATTTACATGTTAATTCCTACGCTTAAAACAATTAATGTTTTTGTCTTTGTACAAATATTTTGTTATGATTTATCTCCTTCTATCATTAACGTCGTTGTAATAGGAAGAACTAAAATGTACTAAAACTTTTGTATTGAGACTAAAATATACTTTTTTAAAATAATGAATTAATTTTATATGTATCAATTATAGAAACTAAATTTATAATTTAACCAAAAATTTAGATATAACTATTCTTCATTAGAAACATTATTATTTCAAATTAGATAAAATATATTATATTATTTATATTGATAGATTTAATATAAGTGACGAGTGAACTAATTTTAATAAATTTTTTGTAGTATCAAATAAAAACTAATATAAATTTAATGAGTAGAAATACTTTTTGCCCCATTAAAAAATAATAAAAACCCGATTTAGTTTAAAAATATAAACTATGCATTCATGATGTGATATAAAATTAGAAAAGTCTCTAATTCTCCTATAAAAAAAACGAACAGTGATATCAATGGAATACGGTGATTTGTTTAAAAAAATCATTGTACTAAAATTTCGTTCCGCTGGAATTGTCAATCAATTCACATATATTCAAGTATTTTTTAAACTTTAAGAATCTTGATAATATGACACAAAAGATTACGTAATAGCATAACTCTTGTCCATGGAAGCCTTTTGTTTTTCCCACAAACTTTGTAAATGTGCCTTGCACCTTCATCAAGGGACTGGAAAGTGTTGGGTGTGAGCTGGTACATGAAGAAAGGAGAGTGAGAGGGTTTAGGCTGAATTTGTGAAAGGAGTTAGCTACCAATTCTATTTTGGTTCATCTCCACTTCTTCATGTATTTTGGGGATCACAAGGACATGGAAACCAAACGGATGCAAAGACGCTGTAACAGGTGATGAGTATACACTTGAAGCACTGTTGTCAATTTATCTCTTTTAAATTCGAGAATTTTCGCGAGATTACATCATTTGTAGCTTCAAAATTGACGATCTTGTCCAGAGATTGAAGTCTATTTTATTTTTGCTTAAAATGTATCCAATTTGCACTGAAAGTGAACATCTAATTCTACATTTTTGAGTCAAAGTATTAAAAAGTTTTACTTAAAAAATTCGCTTAAACTAAATTGTAAAGTACTTGTCTTTGATCTTGTGCAGAGTTTATAACCATTAACATGTGTGCATACTATACATGTTCCATGAAATTTTTAAATGACTTAAACACTAATATTTTAATTAAAACAGATAATCAATATAAATTAAAACATTTAAAGGTAATTGATAAACACACTCATATAGCCTTTTTAAACATAAACAATTCAGAGAATAGAAAATATAAATTAGGATAATAACAATCCCAAGTCCAATGACAACCTAAACAAATATATTAAAAGCAAGTGCTAACATAACAAGGTTTTCAATGAAAGGAAAATACAAGGAACAATGTCCAAACATAGTCACGAGTTGCATAATGCAGAGCAACCAAGTTAGTGAACCACAGAATAATCTACCTGGTCATGACGCTTGAAACACCAGTCCAACCAGTGGAGAGATGATCTAAGATCACTAGGTGGAGGTCTCGAAGGTAAAATTGATTTCTTTGGTTTCATATCCTCTGAATACACACTCCCTCCCGCAGTTGAACGATTAACAAAGTACAAAGAGTTGCTATCATATCCCCACCTACTTGGATTGCTCAATGCATAGCACTTCGTCCACCCAAAAAACAATGCAATGTCTCCCATTGTTTCCATCTTCACATAACCCATGGTTGAGAAATCTATCTTGTATACATCCAATCTTTCCATAGATGCAAAATTAACCACTAGAAGTTGCCCATCACAACTAACCAACTTAAGAATAAGGCCAATTATCTTGGGAATATTCTTCAATTTTAGAAATTTCAAAGTTGGAGAATTCAGCCTCAATACTCCTATCTCACCCTTGTTAGTGATAGCATATATGGTGTTATCAAAAACCACAAAGTCAACTACTGTCCAAGGTTCTCCCTGTGCAGAACAAGTAACCCAACAAGAATTTCGAGATTCATAGATATGCAAACATTGAAAATATTTACCTGAAACCACTACGATGAATTCCTCTGAACCTTTTGCAAAAGCAAATAAGGCATTGCAACCCAAATATTCTATGTTACCATTAAGTGCTGACATATTGATTTCCACCTTTCTTCTCACAAAAGGATTCATTAGAAGAAGTTTGTTGTTTGAAATACCAACCATAATCACATATCCACAGGAAGACCCTGAATAGAAAAACTCACTCAAGTAGCAATTTCGCACCGAGCCATACACTTTTTGTTCAGGTGTGCTAAAGAAAGAATAAGCTTGCATGAGAAATGATGTTTGGACCACTAATGGTTCTTGGGATGCCATCAAATCTCTCAAGTAACTTTTGTGAAATATCCTCCAGCTCTTGCACACTCCACCAAACTGAAAGAGGTCATCAAAATCTAGTTTCTTGGATATAATATCAAAGACATCCTCAGGAAGTTCACTTTTCTCTACCATTTTTCCCTTCAGTTTTCCTACATTCATTAAAAAAGGACAAGACCAATATTGGTGATCTCCGGTGTAAATGAAAGGAATAGATATAGAATTTTATTTATGTCTAACCATATTATGGAAATGAGGAAATAAAGAAGGATTTGTATCCTCAAGTCCAATTTAAATGTAATACCATCCTTAGTATTCCTTATTGTGAATAATTTATGATCATGCTGCTATTTAGTAAACAGTAGACATCTATTTTCATTCTCACACAGACATTAACATTCTAACCAAAAGCATGAAGCATTAACAATATTATACATGGCAAGTACAAAGAGAAAGATTCAGTTTTACAATTGCATCCACTTGTTTCCAAGGCTACAAATAAAAAAAAAAACTCTAATTTGATAAAAATGACTAGTTTAACAACCCTTTCTGTAGTTAATCAAGGAACTAAAGCTGTAAAACTTACACTTTTGAAGAGAAAGAAGGGATTTATTCAAATTATAAACAAATATTTAATTAGTTAAAAAAATTTAATTCAAACTTAATTTTATAATTACTATTTTATTTATCTAAAAATAAATCAGTCTCACATGAATCTTTAAAATTTATAAATTTTTAAATTAATACGTAAATTAATTCTCTCTAATCCAAAACAAGTAAAAGAAGAAAATTTAGAATATTTGAATTACTTAAAAGGAGAAAAGAAAGGGTAATTTTTTCAATAAAGATAAAGTTGTTATCTTTAAATCTATTAATCAATCATGGTTATCGCTATAAAAACGACCTCATACCCCCTCACTAGTGTACATGATAATATTTTTTATTAAATAAAAAAATTTCAAGATTCATAACAAAAATAAAATTAATAACATACTGGGAGACGAACAAGCTTCATTTTTTTTTGTAGATAACAATATAAAAAGCAACTAATCTAAAAGATAAGTGCATGTAAAATAATACTTGATAGTGACGATGGAGCTGAAATCTCAGAACTATTTGATCTGTTGATACCATCGTCATCGTTTTCTTTCTTCATTCTATCTTTTTTTTGACTCAGTTGAATATGTTCTCTTTCTTCGTTCTTTATTTTATTATCAATTGCCGTGATCTCTGCCTTTTTTCTGCCTCAATAATCGAGCTTAAAACTCTATCATAAAGAGGACAAATTTTCTCTTTAAAAAATAGAAGAAAAACATGACAAACCTCACCCATCATTGGTCACATAATATCAAAATACTAATATTTTTAAAACTTATAAAATAATATATTTGATGTTTTAATAAAAGCAAGTAATGACATTGAAATTTCCGCTCCCTGTTTTATTAAATTGGAGGATAAAATAATAAAAAAAACAAAGAAGGAAAAAGTATAATATTTTACTAAAATTAGGACAAAATAAAAACATCAACAAAGACATTATGTCTAATGAAAGGAATAGATATAGAATTTTATTTATGTCTAGTGACATTATGGAAATGAGGAAATAAAGAAGAATTTGTATCCTCAAGTCCAATTTAAATGTAATACCATCCTTAGTATTTCTCACTGTGATTAATTCATGATCATGCTGCTATTTAGTAAACAATAGATATTCATTTTCATCCTCTCACAGACATTAACATTCTAACCAAAAGCATGAAGCATTAACAATATTATACATGGCAAGTACTGAGAGAAAGATTCAGTTTTACAATTGCATCTAGTTGTTTCCAAGTGAGGTTATAGACAAAAAGAATAAAAAAAAAAAACTAATTTGATAGAAATGGCCAGTTTAACAACCTTTTTAATTAAGGAACTAAATTAGTTTTTAAAACTCAAATTTGTAAGACTTGTACTTTTGAAGAGAGAGAAGGGATTTATTCAAATTATAAACAAATATTTAATTAGTTCAATAATTTTAATTCAAGTCTAATTTCATAATTATTATTTTCTTTATCTAAAAGTAAATCAGTTTGAGGTACAGCATGAACCTTTAAAATTTTTAAAATTTTAAATTAATAAGTAAATTAATTCTCTCTAATTCAAAGCAGGTAAAAGATTAAAAAAAAAAAAAAACTAAAATATTTGAATTACCTAAAAGGAGAAAAGAAAGGGTAAGTTTTTCAACAAAGATAAAATTGTTATCTCTAGATCTATCAATCATGTTTCTAGCTACAAAAACAACATCATACCTCCTACACTAGTATACATGATAATATTTTTTATCAAATAAAAAAATTTTAAGATTCATAAGGAAAATAAAAATAACATACTAAGGGACGAACATGCTTCATTTTCAATAGATAGCAACATAAAAAGCAATTAATCTAAAAGATAGGTGCATGTAAAACAATACTTAACAATGACGATAAAGCTAAAGTCTCAGAACTATTTATTTTATTGTCAACTGTCATGATCTCTGTCTTTTTTTCTTAATAATTAAGGTTAAAATTGCCATAAAGAGGAATATTTTTCTCTTAAAAAAATAGAAGAAAAACACGTCAAACCTCACCCATCATTGGTCACCTGATGTCAAAATACTAATATTTTTAAAACATATAAACAAAATATTTGATGTTTTAATAAAAGCAATTAATGGCATTGAAATTTTCGCTCTCCATTTTATTAAATTGGAGGACAAAGTAATAAAAAAAAAAAAACAAAGTAAGAAGGAAAAAGTACAATATTTTACTAAAATTAGGGCAAAATAAAAACAACAACCACAATAATAAAGAAGAAGAAGAAAAAAGAGGGAGTTTGCATACAAGAGTTCAAAAACCTTCAAATTTGTATATAATGCATGACAACTAAGACCATTATTATCTTAAGCTTTAAACTCTGTTTGTTTGATAAATTAATTTGTTATAAATAACTATTTAAATAATGAATGATTGTTACTTAATATTAATTTTTTTTTTTTTTATGAATAAAGATGTTATATCATAATGTAACACATTATTATTATTTAATACTTTTTATATTCATCTATTTTTATAAAGATGTTTATCCTAAAAAAATTTATATTTTTCATTTAATTTAATATTTTAATAAAATAAAAAATAAGTAAAAAACATCTAAATTAAAAGATAGGTATATGTGAAACAATACTTGGTAGTGACGATAGAGTTGAAGTGTCAAAATTATTTGATTTGTTGATATGTTAATTGTTTTCTTTCTTTATTCTTTATTTTATTGTCACTTCTCATAATTTTTGTCTTTTTTCTTTTTCAATAATCAAACTTAAAATTTTGTTATAAAAGAGATATTTTTCTCTTAAAAAAAAAAAAAAAAAAAAAACATGTTAAAGCTCATCTATCATTAGTCATTTAATGTCAAAATTTTGATATTTTTAAAACTTGGAAAAGATATATTTAATGTTTTAGTAAAAATAATTAATAACATTGAAATACCCCATTTTATTAAATTGGAGGAAAAAATAATTAAAAAGCAAAAGTAAAAAAGAAAAAGTAGAATATTTTACTAAAATTGGGAAAACAACAACAACATCATCGATACTAATAATAATAATAATAAAGAAGAAAAAAAAAAGAGGTTTGCCAAAAAGAAGTGAAATACCTTTAAATTTGTATATGATGCATGACAAATATGACTATCATTGTTATAGGCTTCAAACTGTGTTTATTTTATAATTTAATTTGTTATAAATGACTATTTGAATAATAAAAAATCGTTACTTAATAGTAATTATTGTTTTATGAATAAAGATGTTATAAATTCAATCATAGTGTTAAACATTATTGTTATTATTATTTAATACTTTTTATGTTTAATTATTTTTATAAAAAAAATTATCTTACAAAATTTTTATATTTTTCCTTTAATTTAATATTTTAATAAAATAGAAAAAAGTAAAACGCAACTAAATTAAAAGATAGGTATATGTGAAACAATATTTGGTGGTAAAGAGGAGTTAAAGTGTCAAAATTATTTGATTTGTTGGTATCATCTTTCTGACACCCTTACTACTTATTATGTCATCAATATAAATATAATATTAAAATAATCCAAACAGTAAGAAAGCCACATGTATGAGTTTACATCTGTTCACATTAATAGAAACTAAATACACCATCTGCACCAGTTACCCAAATACATATATACATATCATCTGTCAAAATATACAGTCATCCAATCATATAAACATATGCACATAACTGAATTACATACAAAATTAAGTGGGGTCACGATATCAGAGACAACAAAAAAAATGACCTCACAGGCTTTTCCCCTAGACCCATGATCATCAAAAATACCATTTCTTCAAAAGTTAACAACGGTTATGAATTTCCATTTACCTATTCTCTCAATCACTAGAAATTATACCTACATATATGTACAAGTTATACTTTACTCGGCCCTAGCCTACCTCCTTCCCCACTAGGTTTCTGCTCAGAGAAGTCAAAACTAGGAGGAAGTTTGGTATGAGAAGCAGTCATCTTCCTTCCAGTAGCAGAAAGGGTGTTTGAGTAGTGAAAGGAATCTGCAGAGTCAGAAGAACTAGAGGAAATCGAATGAGAAGTAGATGAGATGGATGTGTCTGGGTAGAGATATGTTCGCTATATTGGGTCGTACAACATGTGGTACATAAGATCCTAAAGATCTAAGAAAATTCGAGGGGAATATTGGGGGCGATAATACAGGGACAAGGGGTGGGACATGGGGTCTCATAAACTGTACTCCAGGAGGAAATGGAAAAGCAAGTCTCATGGGTACCCTGATGGGGATGGGCTATGCTCGTGGGCCTAGCCTGTTTCTATCTAACAAAAAGGTAATAGTACTAGTATGGATGAACTATTGTTGCTCCTAATCGTGTGTCCATCTTCCTTCAGGATCATATCTGACTGTGACGTTGAACTGGTACGATGGTCGAGTCATTTGTGTCCTCACCTACTAAACATATTCACATATAACACATATAGCAACTAAAAGGGTAAGACAAACTCATTTCAACCAAAGTATAGTAGAAAATACGTCAAGATATTTACAATTGTCATAGCAAATAGCAAACAACTCAACACACAATGTACATGTCATGTATGATTCTGTGCATCACCTAGTTAATTGCTATACTAACATATGCATGTGGGCCCAAACCATTTTTCTTTCTTTCTTTCTTTCTGGGAAGGATTAGGAGTTCACTACCACCAACCATTCTTGGTCATAACCATCTCATCAGATATTTTCAAAGGTATAGCTCAACTGATTCTGAGAATCCATAAAGTTTTGTCAGGATAGTTTGATTTTACAGTGATAACCGACAGCACAGGGTTGCGAGCCCTGACCTTTGCCCAGCTCAATCACACCCGACTATCCCCAAGACTAACATGGAATCTCCCCTAGATTTTGAATACTTCCCATCCAACACCACCATCATCACATGCTTATGATGCATGAACCTAATTCCAGTCTTTTAAGTAGGTATAAAACATTTCATTTCAATCATCAACAATATATGTTTCAAAATTCCACTGACAATCCAGCAGAGTTTTTTCTACAATTCAGATATTTCCAAATTTTTTTTCTCTCTGCAAAATAGCTAAAAAATTCCAATACACTTCTAATTTTAAGCAGAAAGTCACTACCACCACATTTTACAACTTTCCAGCCATTTCAATGGCTCTCAAATACATTTTTCCTATTATCACCACATTTCAAAATACTCATTTAAAATAATACTTTAAAATGAATTAAAATCCTTTAAATCATTTAAATATGTATATAGGTATACTTTAAATATATAAAAACTATTAAATAAATTTTGATTAAATCACTTGAAATTAAAAAAGATTTTTAAAAAATAATTTTCTTAAGAAGAAAATTAACCATAATTCCATTTCTCAATTTCTAAAACACTTTTAAAAACCCATCAAATTTTATCTCAAATCTTCCCATTTTTTTTTAAACATATTTATTTCACAAGTCTCCAATTCTTTTCAACTTTCTACATACCTTCTATACGCTCACTCCACATGAATGATAGTTCATTCCTCAAGTATTTTAGGCAATCAATTATTTATACTGAATTCAACAAAACAATTATCATAGAAGCATCATCACACATAAAATCAATCTCAAAAAGGATTATCAAAGAATTGTACACTAAGTATGGAAAAAATTATAAATTTTTTCAAATAATTTATATATATATAGCAAGGAATAAAACACCCTATCTCCCAACATTTTTCTACTATACCCTTGAAAATAAATATGTCTCCCCTTACCTTGAAGTGTATACCGATTTTTTCCACCAACGTCTTCTTTCCACCACTTCTCAAATCACAATCCTAACCAAATAATCACACATAATCATGATCAATCTTAAGAGGCATTAATCATCCAACCTTCTGCTAGTGAGTTGAAACTATCATTTTCTAATCTTCGCAAAGATGACTTACGGGTCTTACAATTGTTTTCTATAATGTAAATGAAATACTATAAGCCTAAAGGTGATTAAAAATAATTATTTTCTCCTCATAACACTCTTGAAACAGCACCTCTAGACCAAGGGTTTTGAACCTCGAAATGCATTTTTAACAAAACAAAAAGTACCAAAATTATTTATTATAAAACATAGAAGAATTAAACTAACTAAAACATAATTTAGAAACAAAAATTTTGGACAAAATCTCAGCCTCATGCCACTGTTCCAACATCCAAAAAGAGGAAGAAAATAAAAAGTTTAATCAGTTCAAAGTGTTCATAATGATGAAAATAGGCAGAATATTAAAAAAAATTAATGAACTTACTTGGAAATTTAAGGGATTAAGACCAAAGATTATCAAAGTTCCTTGGAAGAAAGAAAATGGGGCTTACGGAAGTGAAGGGAGGAAGTGGGAAGCTTAAGAGACTAATTCTTATCTTAAATAGTAAAAATAATAATATAATATTAGAATTTTCACTAATTTTTTGTAATTAATTGAAATAATTAGATAAAAATCCCAAAATTTAAAAATAATCATGAAATATATTAAACATAATTATAAAATAATTTTTGACACTATTGATTCTTTAGTTGGTGTCTAAAATTTTTACACGCAATTTCTGCTTAAGCATATAACTAATTTACTTAAAATTAACCAGAAAATCTAAAAATGCTCAATAATTACAAAAAAAAATATTTTTATATTCCAAATAATAGTTATAAGTAAAATATAAATTTTTTATATTTTTTATTATTTTTTTAAAATAAAATGTTATTTTTAGCTTTATATAGCAATTTTAACCAATATAAATGGACACTTTTTGAAATTTAAAAATTTAAAAATTAAAAATTAACAAATTTTTTTGAAAAATATACTTAACAATTTTATCTAAAACATCTCATATTAATTCTATTCTAATTTTAAAAAAAAATCAAGAACTATACTTTAACTTAGAACTATATTAATAAATTAATTGTTTAGAAAAAACAATGATGTTATAATCTTTATCATTTTTTTCTTCATTTTTTATTTTACTATCACTTGTCGTGATCTCTGTCATTTTTCTGTGTCAATAATTAAGCTTAAAACTTTGTTATAAAGATGACATATTTTTCCTTAAAAAATATACAAAAAACGCGTCAAAACTCATACATCATAAGTCACTTAATGTCAAAATTTTGATATTTCTAAAACTTAGAAAGGATAAATTTAATGTTTTAGTAAAAGTAATAATAACATTGAAATACCCCATTTTATTAAATTGGAGGACAAAATAATAAAAAAAAAGAGAAAAGAAAAAATGGAATATTTTACTAAAATTGGCAAAAAAAAAATAACAACAACATCAACAACAACAAAAAAATAATATTTATAATAAAGAAGAAAAAGAAAAAAGAAAAAGGTTTGCAAGGAAGAAGTGAAAAGTCTCTAAGTTTGTATATAATGCATGACAACTAAAATTATTATTGTCTTAGGTTTCAAACTATGTTTATTTTATAAATTAATTTATTATAAATGACTATTTAAATAATAAAAGATTCAGTTTTACAACTGCATCTAGTTGTTTTCAAATGAGATTACAGATAAAATAAAATAAAATAAAAACTCTAATTTGATCGAAATGGCTAGTTTAACAACACTTTTAATTAAAGAACTAAATTAATTTTTTAAAACTTAAATTGGTAAAGCTTGTACTTTTGATGGAAGAGAAGGGATTTATTCAAATTCTAAATAAATATTTAGTTAGTTCAATAATTTTAATTCAAGCCCTTACTAATTTCTTTATCTAAGAAAAAATCAATTTAAGATACAACGTGGACCTTGAAAATTTATATTTTCAAATTAATAAGTAAATTAATTTTCTCTAACTCAAACCAAGTAAAAGATGAAAACGTAGAATATTTGAAATATCTAAAAAGAAAAAAGAAAGGGTAAGTATTACAATAAAGATAAAGTTACTATCTTTAAATCTATCAATCATAGTTTTAGTTACAAAAATGACCTCATACTCCTACACTAGTATACATGACAATATTTTTTATCAAATGAAAAAAATCTCAAGATTCATAATGAAATAAAATATCATGCTTAGGGATGAACAAGCTTTATTTTTTATTTTTTTTATAAATAACAACATAAAAAGAAATTAAACTAAAAAATAAGTGTATGTGAAACAATACTGGGTGGTGATGATAGAATTGAAGTGTCAAAACAATTTAATTTTTTTTTTTGTTATCTTTATTCTTTATTTTATTGTCACTTGCTGTAATTTTTACATTTTTTTCTGTTTTAATAATTGAGCTTAAAACTTTGTCATAAAAAAGACATATTTTTGCTCTTAAAAAATAAAATAAAAACACGTCAAAACTTATCTATCATTAGTCACATAATGTCAAAATACTAATATTTTCAAAACTTGTAAAAAAATTATATTTGATGTTTTAATAAAAGCAATTAATGATACTGAAACACCCTATTTTATTAAATTGGAGGATAAAATAATAATAAAAACAAAGTAAAAAGGAAAAAGAAGAATATTTTACTAAAATTAGGAGGAAACAACAATAACAACAACAATAATAATAATAAAGAAGAAAAAAAAAGGAGAGAGCTTACCTAAAAGATGTCAAAGACCTCCAAGTTTGTATATAATGTATGATAATTAAGACTATTATTATTTTAAGCTTCAAATTTTGTTTATTTTTTAAATTAGTTTGTTATAAATGACTATTGAAATAATGAATAATCGTTACTTAATATTAATTATTATTTTTTATGAATATAAATATTATATCATAATGTTACACATTATTATTATTTAATACCTTTTATGTTTAGTTATTTTTATAAAATTGTTTATCCTATAAAATTTTTATATTTTTCCTTTAATTTAATGTTTTAATAAAATAGAAAATAAGTAAAAAGTAATTAAGTTTAAAGATGGATATATGTGAAACAATACTTAGTAGTGATAATGGATTTGAAATATTAAAACTATTTGATTTATTAATATCATATTCATCGTTTTCTTTTTCATTATTTATTTTGTTGTTACTTCTCATAATTTTTGTCTTTTTTTCTACTCAACAATCAAGCTTAAAACTTTGTTATAAAGAAAACATATTTTTTTTTCTTAAAAAAATTCAAAAAAAAGAATGTATCAAAACTCATTCATCATTAGTCATTTAATATGAAAATTTTGTTTTTAAAACTTAAAAATGATATATTTAATGTCTTAGAAAAAAGTAATTAATGACATTAAAATACTCTATTTTATTAAATTGAAAGATAAAATAAAAAAAAGTGAAATATTTTATTAAAATTGAAAAAACAACAATTATAATAATAAAGAAAAAAAAATTTGCAAAGAAAAAGTGAAAGACTTCTAAATTTGTATATAATGCTTGACAACTAAAACTATTATTGTCGTAAACTTTAAATTATGTTTATTTTATAATTTAATTCATTATAAATAATTATTTAAATAATAAATTATCATTATTTAATATTAATTATTTTTTATGAATGAAGGTCTTTTAAATACAATGATAATGTTACACATTACTATTATTTGATTATTTTTATATTTATCTATTTTTATAAAATTGTTTATCTTATAAAAATTTTATATCTGTTAATGCAATATTTTAATAAAATAGAAAATAAGTTGAAAAAAAAGAAGAAAAATAATAATAAATAAATTAAAAAATGATAAAAAAGAGAGTTAAAAAATATAGTTAATGTGAAAATAAAAAGTTTACTTTACTTATTTGGATAAATGATAAAAAAGAAAAATATGCGTTGTGTGAATGGATAAAAATAAAAATAAAATAAGAAAAGTTTACTTTACTTATTTGGATAAATAAAAATGAGAGTTAAAAAATATAGTTAATGTGAAAATAAAAATATTTTTTTTATAATAACAATAAAAATATATATGCCGTAATAATTTGTCTTCTGCATTAATCCTTTTGCGTTTGTCCTCTTTTACCTTCAATGCATACTAAGGAAGTAAATATGCGAAAAAATAGTAAGTTAAGAAAAGAAGCTTCATCAAATTCATACACAATGAAAGAGCTTTTACGATTATTTCATCAAATTTATTAAATAAAATTACAGTATTTTAGTCAGTCCTGATGACCTTTACAATTATTCTTGTCTGCCTTGTGCTCCTCAATTTATAGTGCACACTGAAGCCTCTTCTTCAAAGCAGCATTCATGGTGAGGGCCCACGTAACAAGGGCCACTCCAACCATAGCTATCGTATATGGGCCTAGCATAAAAGCCCGGGGGCCCACCAGGACCACCCCCATAGAAGGGCCCAACCGGAGCAGACGGTGGTGGGAATGCAAGAACGGAGAACGGCGGTGGCTCAGAAAACTTTGCGGCCGATGGGGGAGGAGGAGGAGGAACACGATCTTGTTTTGGTGGCTCAGGAGGCCCAGGTGGCGGTGGTTTGGGCTCTTCGGGCTTCTTGGGCGGTGGTTTGGGCTTGGGTGGTTCAACAATTTCAATACTCTTAATGGAGCCACCACCTTCGCAACAAATACTATTCCTCAGCCTCTCTGGGTTGCAACATATCACTCTGATGGTCACTACGCCGTTCTTCTCGTCATAAACCTGATCTCGAATTTCTTTGTTCACAAAAATTGGAAAACACCCACTCGCAAATTATTAATTAAATTTCTGGAACATAAACCACTTTAATTTTTGAATTGGAATAAAAAGATGGGATTAGTAAAAATGGGTAGCGGTTAACAAACAATTTTCTTTATCAAATTATATTTTATTTTGGGCCTTAGACCAAAATTAACTAAAAGCATGCTCAATTAAGCGTAAGTTAAAAAGGTATGAGAAAACGAGCTAACGTAAAAGACTCACGAGGGAATTTGCTTAGGACTTTCTTGAGTTTCATAATGCACTTTCTACACTGAAGGTCAACCTTCAGCTTCATTATCGCAACCTACACGATTTCAAGAAAGTTGGTGGTTAAAATGTAAGCACTTAATAGCCATCAATTGAACTAAATTAAGAAGGATAAGAAGAACATTATTAGGGTGTCGATGTGTATGATAATTCATCGTAAGAACGAAATTAACGTTATTCAAACTAGGACAGAAAGTTGAATGTTTGTGATGGTTAAATTAAAGATTTAAGGAAATATTGTTGGGTACCTTTTCCTCCATGACTGGGGCAAGAGAGCTCAGATCTGAGATGCTCGGATAAGAATGAAAGAAATATTACGCGGACAAAATGGTGACGTTAATGGGAAATGTTATGCACGAGAGAAAAACTGATGGTTTAGGATGGATATTGTTGCCTTGCCACACAGAAATCCCTGTCACCAATCATATGCAATCTCGTAATGTGAGGATGATGAATTTCATCAAAAGTTGCCAAATTGATTAAATTAATTGTCTATTTTTTAAAATATTTTTATTTATTTTTTAAATATTTTTACATGATAGTTATAACTGGAAATGAATAGTGAATATCATAATATAATTTTAATATAAATGAAGATATTAATTATATATTTTAATTTCTAAAAAAAATAGTTAAATCTAACGGGTTATAAGAATTTTTAGACTTATACTGGTATAAGAAAATTCTTTCCCTTATTTAATATATTATTATTATTATTTTCTTGAATATGAACTTAATTAAGAAATGATGGCAACAATGTAAGATACTGCAACAAAGAATGAGAAAAGATAGTGTGTTATTGATAAGGAAGTTAAGGTCGAGAAGAATGGAAATTGTGAACAAGTTACAGAGACAATGGTAAACGTCTAAGTTTCAAACAATAGTAATATAGAAGGATGATGAGATGTTATTAGTTTTTGTTAGTATAAATATGCAAGCTAACAGACTTAATTTAGGAGTGAATCAAGCTAATAAATCCCTATTGATTCTCCTTTAATCAACTAGACTTTTGCATAAAAAATGGGTCAACAACAAATTTACAAATCTGAATAATTAAAAATAATTTGAAAACTAATTATTATTATTATTGATATCCTCCCGCAAGTTGTATAATCTGGAAGAGAGATGCAACTTGGACAGTAAGGACTCAAACCGGGGGTGAAGCAAAAGCTTTGTGAGAATATCAGCAAGCTGATCGATCATCTATAGACACAAAAGACACTCGAAATTTGTCATGTTGAACATTTTCTCGGACAGGATTAGCACTTAGATTTGTGGCATGGAGATTGTCACAATATATAACCGAATTGGCTGTTGGTGTGTGACCAAGTTCTGTGAACAAGGAAAGGACCCATAGTAGCTCACTAGCCGTGTCAGCCAAGGCTTTATACTCTGCCTCTGTTGATGATCGAGCAACAAAACGTTGTTTTCGGGAGCTCCAAGAGATAGGAGTGTTGCCGAGATACAAGTAACCAGTGGTGGAAACGTAATCATCCCTGTCACCTACCCAATCTGCATCCGAGTAGGCATGAAAGGTCAGAGGGGCAGTCGCCGAGATGAAGACTCCTTTATCACAAGAGCCTGCCAAATATCGGAGCACTCTTTTGAGGGCAGACCAATGTGTCGTTCTTGGGTGCTGCATGACCTGTGAAATTTTATTGGTGCTGAAGGCGATGTCTGGGCGTGTAAGACTCAAGTATTGAAAGCTTCCAATGAGTGGATACTGGTTTCGTATCTGCCATGCCTAATTTATGTAGAAGATTAGTGATATATTTCCTTTGTGAAAGAAACAGACCTGCAGCGGAAGGAATCACCTCGACACCTAAGAAATAGTTGAGATAGCCAAGATCTTTCAACGAAAAATAAGCAGCAAGTGTGGCAATGAGTTTGGACAACTTTGCAGAAGAACTTTCTGTGACGATGATATCATCAACATATACTAACAAGTACAGTGTAACGCCCGATTTTTGGTATATGAATAGAGATGCATCTGCAGTTGAGTTAACGAAGCCAAGGGAGAGCAGGAATACTCAAAGCTCCGTGTACTAGGCACGAGGTGCCTGTTTTAGCCCATAGAGTGCCTTTTTGAGGCGACAGACATGATCAGGGAAGTTTTTGTTGACAAAACTAGGTGGCTGTATCATGAAGACCTCCTCCTTAAGCGTCCCCTAAAGGAACGCATTGTTGACATTAAGTTGACGTATGGACCAACCTTGACGAACTGCAAGTGTTAGGACAATACGAATGGTCATCGGTTTAACGACTGGGCTGAATGTTTCTGTATAGTCCCAACCAAGGCGTTGGTGAAACCCTTTGGCAACTAATCAGGCCTTGTAACGATCAATCGATCCATCTGGATTCTGTTTGATTCGAAATACCCCTTTACAGCCAACCAAATTTTGAGCAGAGGACCGACTAACAAGATCCCAAGTGTTGTTGTGGTGTAAGGCATCAAATTCGGCTTGCATGGCGAAGCGCTAATCAGGGTCACAAAGAGCTTGGGTGATGGTGCTGGGTTCAATGGAAAAGGACGATCAGGCATGAAGGTTGAGCCTTTTGAGGGGCTTGACGATGTTGTTTTTAGACCGGGTGATGATCCTGCCGCCATTGGGATTGGCAACAGGATGGGATGGTGGGACAAAAAGTTGTGGTGATGGTTGTGGGGTTGGAAGGGAAGATTGAGTGGTGTTGGTGGGTTCATTTGAGGGTAAGGATTGGGGCGGATCCAGTGATTGAGGGATGGATGGAGAGGAAGGGGTAGAGGAGAAATCTTCCGATGGGTTTAGAGTTGGACTTTCCGCAGGTTGGTTTATGGGCTGTAAAATGGAGATTTAAAGTGGGCTTGTTTGTTGCTCTGCACCTAGACTGGATTGAGTTACGAGGGAGCTAAACAAAAACTCTGATTCAACGAACTTCACATGGCAAGAGGTGTAAATCTTGCCTATTTTGGGATCGAGACACAAGTATGCATGTTGATCAGCTGAGTAACCTATAAAAACACACATAGTAGACTTTGGCGCAAGTTTATGGTTAGTATATGGTTTAATCCAGGAAAAACACAAACATCCAAAACATTTTAACTTATGATAATCCGAGCTAATGTGGAACAGTTTGGAATAGGGTGAATTGTACCCAAGAATTGGAGTTGGGAGGTGATTTATGAGGTAGGCTGTGGTGGTCATGGCGTGAGGCCAATAGGTGAGGGGCAATCCCGAGTGATGGAGAAGAGAGAGACCGATTTCGGCGTTCTGAGATTCCATTGTGTTCAGGTGTATGAGGTGGGGGTGGTGTGATGACTTATACCATGATTGCTTAAAAAAGGACAAAAACCAATATATTTGCCACCATTATCTGTGTATAAGATTTTTATTGTGTGGTGGTAGAAATTTTCAATGAGGGATTTAAATTTGGGAAATATAGTTTGCACATTATATTTGCGTTTCATTGGATAGAGCCAGATATAGCGAGTAAAATGATCAACAAACATGCAATAGTAACGAAAATCATCAATTGATAAAATAGGTGAAGTCTATACATCTGAAAAAATTATTTCCAATGGATAAGAAGATTTAAGAGTGGATTCATGAAAAGGAAGCTTGTGACTTTTGCTAATCTGGCATGAGTTGCAATCTGATTGTTAGAATTTATTTGAGCCCAAAGAAAAATGTTGTTGAATAAATTTGAAGATAGAAGATGAAGGATGCTTAAGCCTATGGTGCCATTATGCAGAGGAATGTGTGCGGACGGATGGTGAGGAGGCGGGCCAGAGATAAAGTCCATCCACACATGAGCCTTTATGGGTTGTTTGGCCTGTTTGTAAACCCTTCACATAGAAAGAGTGTGGCAGGAAAACAATAGTAGAGTTAGTTTGTTGGGCAAGTTTAGAGACAGAAATGATTTTTTGTTTCATGGAAGGAACACAAAACATTAGACAGGGATAAATCATTAAGTGAAAGTGTTCTAGAGTAAGAGATGTTTAAACCTGAACAGTTACCCATAAACAGGGAGTCAGGACCAGTGTATGGATGATGGAGTGCCAAATTTTCAAGATCATTGGTTACGTGATGCATGACTTCGCTGTCAACCAAAAAATCAGTCTGAGATGAGCCAGCAGCTGCAGCATTGATATGAGGCTATCTAGTGTAAAGCGGAGAGTCCCGAGGGGGCAGCGGGACACTGAGAGGTTACTGCTTGAAGGTGTGGCACTGAGATAGAACATGTCCTTTGACGTTGCACCACTGATATCGGCCTAGAAACGGTTTGCGATTGCCAGTGCGTTGATGTGACTGTGCAAAGAATTGCCCAGATCAATACTTGTTGTTTGAGTTGGGCAGAGCCTGAGCATTCAAGGCTGTAAGAGGAGCAGGAGTTTGTCTCTGAGCAACAACAATGGACAGTTCCTGGATAAGAAGCTTTTCCAGGAGGTCATCAAAGGAAATAGGGGTGTCCCTTGCATTCACGCCGTCAATAATCAGCCATGTCTTCAACAGAGACAAGAGATCCAAGTGATGCAAGGAGATCTGTTGTTTGCTTCAGAGAATGCATATAGGTTGTGGTGGATTAGGTACCTTTGGAAGCCGTACGGAAACGCTCCTTTAGTTGCTTGAGATGACTGCGGATGCATTGGCATAGGTGCTCTTGAGGAGGGTCCAAAGATCATGCGAGGTCTTTGTCTGAGACACTAGGAAGGCCACTTCGTTGGAGAGAGTGGTGAGAAGGGCACCATAGATGAGGCGGTCCTGTCGACGCCATGTTTGATAAGCAAGATTTGGAGACATCGTTAGAGGTGTTGTAGTGATGGAGATGGATTACGGCGGCGCGGGAAAAGATCCATTTGGATATTTGAAAAGATCATAGCCATCAAAGAATGCTTCAACTTGGAGTTTTCAATTAAAATAAGTGGTGGGAAGAAGCTTGGTGACACTGATAAGAGTGATACAGGCAAAGGGTTTGGATGGCTCATGAGGGTTGGAGATGAAGGAGGTGTTGTCGCTGGCCATTGGAGACAGAGGTGGTAACTAGGGTGAGGAACGACGGCCTTAGAGAGAGGGGGTTGGATCGTTTCTGACTGATACCATATAGAAGGATGATGAGATGTTATTAGTTTTTGTCAGTATAAATATACAAGCTAACAAACTTAATTTAGGAGTGAATCAAGCTAACAAATCCCTATTAATTTTCCTTTAATTAAGCGCTAGACTTTTGCCTAAAGAATGGGTCAACAACAAATTTACAAATCTGAATAATTAAAAATAATTTGAAAACTAATTATTATTATTGACAGGTGATTTATGATATTACCACACAAACGGTGATTTTTGATTGATTTTTGAGAAAGGTAGTGTACCACATAAGACACTACTCGGTCTTACTGATAGAAAAAGAAAACTGAGTATCCCTTCAGCCT